AAATAACACTTGTAGAGAGGTTTCAAGGCAGATCAGAAAACGACAGGGCAAACAAAATGAGTTTGAAGTCGGCGAGATCATGATATGCAGAGAGTATAGGAAGACAAAAACCTATAAGTTAAATGTGAATTTTAGGTATGAGATAATTAATATTTCCGATCCTTGGATTACCATTGCTAATATCAAAACACGAGAAGAGATTACATTACATATTGGTATCTTGAGAAGTCATTTTATCTTTGCCTTCTGTTATACTTGTCATTCTGTTCAGGGGTGTTCCATTGATGACGATGTCACCATTTTTGATTGGAACCATCATCTGATAACTCGCGAGTTTTTATGGACTGCAATCACTCGTGCAAGGGATTTAAACAGGTAAAGTTTTACAAATACAGTAGTGATTTAAATGAAGAGTTTAACGCAAAATGCATTATGAATTATTTTGATAGAAAGGTGTTAGCATACAAGGAACAGGATAGGAAAAACTTTGAGATTCCAAAAGAAAATTATGTAGATGCCGAATGGTTGAAGGACAATGTCAACGGAAAGTGTGCAAATTGTGGCTGTGGTTTCGTGTTGTCAATGGATTCTGGTAATATAAATTCTAATCTGACTTGTCAAAGGTTATGTAATGATCTTCCCCATACAAAGGATAATGTCATTGCCTTCTGTGCTTCTTGTAATAGATGCTTCAGTGATAAAATAACATATTGATATTTATTTTATAGTATTATTTATATATGAGTGAAAAAGACAAGATAATCAGTGAGGTCTACTACGATCAGGCTGGGTTTGGTAGCATCGCCACCACTTACAAAGATGCAAAAAAGAAAGATGCATCCATAACAATGCAAGATGTCAAGGAGTGGTTTCAAGAGAACGTGGAACGGAAAAAACAACTGTCTGGATACAATTCGTTTATTGCCCCTGATACCAACTTTGAATATCAATTGGATCTGTTTTTTATATCAAAAATGATTTAGATAATCAAAAATATAGGATAGGCTTATTGCTTATTGATGTATTTTCCCGCAAAGCCGTGGTGGTGCCTATTGCATCCAAGCAACCTGCCGACATCACGGCTGGGATCATGGAGGCATTAAACAAAATGGGAGGGAAACCCAAATTAATTTATTCGGATGACGAGGGGAGTCTCAATACCCAAGATCTTGTCGATTTTTTCAAGGACGAAGGGATCCAAAACTATAAAACACGAGGGCACCCCCATTTTGCCGAGCGTTTCATTCGCACGTTCAAGGACATGCTTTTCAAGAGGGTTGATGCAGACGAGAAAAAGGGAAAGGTTAATATACAATGGATTGATTATATCCCCGAGATCATGCTGACATACAACAGTAAAATGGTTCATTCTGCCCACGATATGACTCCAAACGATGCCCACAAAAAGGGAAACCATCGTGAGGTCAAGATGAAGCTTGAGATGAACAGAATCAAAACCCGTAAATATCCCCCTGTTAGGGTTGGCGATGAGGTCAAAATATACCGCAAAAAAGGGATTTCCGAGAAAGAAAGAACGAGTTCATGGTCAGCAAACAAGTTCACAATTGAAAGGATTGAGCGAAAACTTGGACAAGACTATTATTATATCCAAGGTGTGACTCGTGCTTATTTGAGATCGGAAATTCTGAAGGTTTGAAAAAATAATATCTAAACGGTTCTAATAGCTGATGAATCTATTAGAACTGTTTAGTATGAGTTGTATCGAATACCCCAAAATCTAATTAGTGATATATCTAGTGTTATTTAGGGGGAACCCAAACAACAAACACCCGACCACACAAAACGAGGCTCCCGTGCGCGAACTCGATCGTCATACCTGCGCAAAGGACATTTGCGAGCACAAATCATGTAAAAGTCATGGTTCCCAAATGCAAACACCCCCCCCCCCGCACTGTCAATCATGTTTTTCTATCGGCGTCTCATCAAGCAAAGTATGTGAGCGTGTCACCCTGAAACCTGTGCTGTTCCAACAGGGCGACAGCTTATGTGAACAATGCCTGTTATATCAACAGCTTCTGCTTCAGAAGGCTAGGGCAATTGCTTCGGAAGACTAGGGCAATTGCTTCGGAAGACTAGGGCAATTGCTTCGGAAGACTAGGGCAATTGCTTCGGAAGACTAGGGCAATTGCTTCGGAAGACTAGGGCAATTGCTTCGGAAGACTAGGGCAATTGCTTCGGAAGACTAGGGCAGTTGCTTCGGAAGGCTAGGGCAGTTGCTTCGGAAGGCTAGGGCAGTTGCTTCGGAAGGCTAGGGCAGTTGCTTCGGAAGGCTAGGGCAGTTGCTTCGGAAGTCACAGGCATTGTTCAGGACGGGCTTCCGAAAAGCCTACAGGACAGCATCTTGCCTCTTGCGGATGCGCTTCTCTACTTGGATCATCTCTTTCAAGAATTTCCAGTCCATCTTACCGCCATCTCGCATCAAGAGATCGGTGATGGCAACCTTTGCCACTACGGTGGCACTTGACACAGCCGTATCCACATCTGCCTCAATGCGGAACAAATTAGGCAAGTGAAACTGAATCATCTTCAAGGCCAATTCATCAATCTTGCCCTCCACCTTGGTCGCCTCAAACTCCCCCAGTGTTTCCAACTCATCGTCTGGGGCATCCTTCAAGAGCAAATCCACGGCTTCCTCGGAACCGCTCTCTTTCCCCACCATCATGACAAGGCTCTGAACCTTCTTGTTCTCCGCATGTAGCAATGTCATGACTTCGCCCCCGATGTGCTTAGCGACTGCCTTGGTCATCTCCTCCTTGAGATCCTTCAACAGGCTTGGCTTCTTGGGCGGTGCGGTCTGGTTCCTTGTGCTTTCGTCTTTCTTCTTGACAGTCCTCGTGACACCTCCGGCGCCTCCCCCACGAAGCTTGAGGAACACCTTCAGAATGATGTCGGTGGCATCGTTGTCAAGGTAGTGAGACAAAGGCAAGTCTGTGTCCATCTTCTTGCGATCGTGGATCAAGTTGAAGTCGCTTGTCTCAAACTTCACAGCCTCGTTGGCTCTCTGCTTGATCATATCAATGAACTTCTCCTTGACATGCTCAATGTTCATCACCTTCGGCACTTTCAGATCAAACAGCATCTTGTTGTGGTTGTCAGTGAAGTGGACCGTCACAACCTCCTCCTCGTCAATGGACGTCACGCTAAAGTCGCTGTTATCCCTCAGATAGTCCTCGGACAACTCAACATAGTCAAGGATACTCGGCGCGTCACCCATGTCCAAGACCTCCACCTCCGAATCGCTTTCCTCCTCGTCGGTGGTGTGGATCTTGGACCGCATCTGCTCTCCTGTCAAGTTGGTCAAGGACTGAACCTCGGCCGACCCCGAAGCAGTAGAAGATGGTGCCACATCCTGCTTTGCGTCCCCCAACTGGTGTGCAGTGCCTGTGAACGCCTCAACTGTTGGGGTGCTGGTTGAAGCTGGGCAAGCACTGCGCTCGCTGGATCCCGAAGCCTCGTTGGACATGATCCTTGCGTTCAATGCCACATTGACAACCACATTGTCCCACTGCGCCAAAATTGAGTTGACCATGACCCTTTTTGTGGGAGAAGAACGGCTTCCACGCAGATGAAGGCGTGCAAACATCTGGTGTAGCTGTTTCAAGGTCATGCCAGCGAGAGTCTCTTCAAGCTGTGTTTTGTCATCACCAACCTCGTAGGCTGTCATGCTGTCAAGCGTGACAATGTCACCGGATTTGAAGATGTAAGGCTTGACCGCATCACTGGTCTGGCGTCTCATGAAAACCAAAGCGCTCATGACTGGTTGGGTCACTGATCTCAAACGTCGTTTGATCACAAAAGGGCTAGTGGGTTAAACATGTCCAGTCTCCAAATGCTCACATGACTGTCTCAAAATGCGACTGACAATGCGAAGCACTCGTGGGAACATCTGACGGGCGCACTTAGTGTTGATCTCCTCGTTGAAGATGAACATGTGCTACGACAAGGTCAATTGGGCCCCCATCATGATAGTTTACTGGGATTGTTTTCAAGATTTGGGTTAACGGTTTTAATTCTCCCTTTTCCATTGGTTAACCATTTTTCGGGGCGAACATAGCGTTCTTTTTTAGACTGTTTGTATTTGTTGGAAATGGGAAAGGGTCTCAGGTTGGATCAAGGGAGAAATTATTGAGATCTTGGGGTTGCGATCTTGGGAATGGAAAAATGTTGGTATGTAGCTTGGATTTTTTTGGTGGGATTTGTTGAGGTGGTATGTAGTTATGATTGTTGTTATTGAATGAACATAGGGGTGATGTTGAGATGGGGTAAGAAATGAAGATGGGTATGTGAATATGTGTTTTTTGGTGTTGGATTGGGTGGGTGATTGGATTTGAATGTTGAAAATAGGCTGTTTTAGTGGGCGTATTCAGAATGTGCCCAAAAGTGTGGGGGGGACCCTATGACCGGATGGCAAAATGCGGACGGGAGAGGCCACCACTAACTGGGGGGTGGGGGGTGGCGGGTGGGTTCTCATCATAGTTTTCAGTTGCCCACCCATAAAAACCGCTCCAGACTTGAAAGCCAAAAGGCATCGGACCCAGCTACTCCCCTACAAACTATCACGGGCCCACAAAAGGGTTTCTTCAAAAGGAGGCTCAGCCATTGGGAGGCCTGCGAAGGGTTCGTTTCCGCCTTGGGCTTGTGTCAAAACCAGCCCGGATTTGGACGCCGAAGGGACTGCGAGGGTCGACGGTTTTGACGCCTCGAGGTCAACCAACAATTCTTGCTTGGGACCTGTTGTTCCGGTTCCGGTTCCGTCGCTGGATCGACGGCCATTTCATCTGGAAAACGGTGTGGATGCGTCTTTTGTGGCTTTCACCTGTTCTTCCCCTTGTTGGTCAATTCTGAATGCTCTATTGGTACTCCTTTGCTATTCTACAGGGGGTGGATCCACAACAGCCACATCCAAACCGATTTCGAGATTTCAGGTGGCCACTACCGGGTGACATGAGGAACTTACAGCCTGTGGCACACCTCGCCAGGCGGTTCTGCAGACGGTCATCAAGGAGAGGCCCTCTGACCCCTTTGAGTACATGGCAAGGCCAGCAATTCGCGCGTGCATGCCGTTCAAAGCACCCCAGCCATTTTGTGGCCCCGAGTTTTAGCGGCATCCATGGAAAAGACCGCATTTTCCCGCGTCCCAAGCCTTAAGGGGATGCTTCTTGGGGAGCACTTGGGGTTTTGAACACAAGCAACCGGTGCCGGGAAGGTAGGGTCTGGCATTCACACTGCCCCCAAGTGCCTTCAAGGAAACCACTGCTGGCGAATTCAACATCAAAGCACAAACGAAGACGTCTGTGTGTTTCGTTTGGTGGTAACCTTTTCAGTTTGGTTTCTAGGAAAGACCAAAGAAAAGCCACCCCATTGCGGCCCCCTGCTTTGAGACATACCCAAATACCTTTCTTTATCAGCACTACTCAGAGCCCAATTGACTTCGGCATCTATATTTGCGAAATGCCGAATCGAGAGGGCAACAAACAAGTGAATGCAACATGCACACAGTATTCACGACTTTTTCTCAGCTTGCCGGCCAACTTCGCCACAGATGACCCGGCCAGTTTATCCTTGCCGCTTTGACTCGAGCAACCACATTGTATGATAGACACATTTGTCACCCAATCCTGCTAAGCAGGATGGGCAATGAGTCTCAAATCGTTACTAAATTGCGCGGACGTCACAAGCTCGTGAGATCTTGTTTTCTTGGGGGCGAGCTCGACAGCTGCCCACGACGGGACCCAGGAGCAGCGTTCAAGCAAGTACGTTTCGCGAAAAGTCTGTGAGGTCTTCGTTGGCAGCCCCCATACTTTACCAGCTGCCCCCTGCTTCAACCCTTTATCCCTTAACGTGAAAACAGGCTTGGCTGCGCAACACAGACATCGGTAGCAAGAGAAAAGAAAAGGAAAAGCCGCAGCGCTGAGCTCCATCGGGCCTGCCAAGGGTTGTGACTCATGACTGCTTGGAGACCTTTGGGAACAAGACACACACACACAAAGCTGGCTCTCTGAGAGATGACAAGAAAATAATATTCGCGCGCAACAACAACGCGCGCTTGCGCGGCGGGGGCAAAGCAAATCA